CACCTTGTTACGGGAAAACGCGATATGATCGTTTACTACGTGTTTTTAATTTTATTCGTGATTTTCGTCGAAAACATCAACAATAATTTTACCTTATGTAGGTGTTCCGTCTTACCAGGGGTCCGGCGTTGACATTCAATATGCCTCAGTCTAGCGTTAGCTTCGCTTAAGAAAAAATGTCTTCGGTAGGTCGATAGCGTCAACAAATATTAACTGTGGATCGGCTGACCTTCTCTCAGCCCCTCCCTGCGACCACGGCACACTTGTCGGGGTCCGGTAATGTTAGCAGACGCATATGCGCCCACCCTTGTCGTCACGACCGCCGTGCAGCAAATAGGGTGAGGTCGTCCGCCGTATCGTTCTCGGCGAGTAGTGCCCGTTGCGCAACCAACGCAATCATCATCATCACAATGGCATGCCGATGAGACTTTAATGCTCACGTGTGCACGACGGGGGTGTGCGACTGCTTATGTCAAGGCGCGTCGTCAATCTCATCGGACCAGCGGCGATCGCGAAACAACTTTGCTCGATATCGTCATTCTAGTTGCTTATAATCGTAACATTCGATTTCTTTCGTTTTCGGCATACAAGTCGACTTCTATCGGGATACTTGGGCGCTCCGTTTATTTCGACACTGATTCCAAGATTGTTTCCTTCAAACGAATCCAGTTTTACGCGTTCAATTTCTACGGTTTCGTTCGACAATCGTAAGTTTTCACTTTTGGTTTTGTCGAAATTATTCAACTGTCCGTTCGTGGAACTCGTTGATCTTGAATAGTCTTCCATCATTGCGTCCGATTTAGTAATTGGATCACATACGGTTCAAGGTTCAGTGTTTCGACACCTAGTACATGTGTGACTAGATCCGGTGTTTTTGGAACTTTTTTTTTCTTAAGTTTCTCTCAGAGATTCCGACACAGTAAAAGTTGATCAGATATTGCGACCTCAGTGCGTCCTCGTTACGAGTTGACGTTTCATTACATTTCGCACACTCGAAAGACACATTTTGTTTGTACACGTTGTGTAGACGTGTACATTGCGGAAAATATTGTATCGGTAATATTGGTTTGTCGAGATGGTCGCAACCTTTCCGCACGGTGTCGCTATTAATTTAATAACGATTCTTTCGATAATAACCTATCTTACATGAATCATACAGTACGACAGAACGATTTGTTTTTCGATTTAATTGTGTATGTGTAATCTATTAACATTATTGCAACTATTTGCTCGGGCTTCAGATATTGAAATAAAACGTTTTCATAAATTATATTATTATATTACTTATATGTATATCGAGTATTTATAGTAAATTAATTCCACAGTTGCCTTACGTACAAAATTATTTTGCATGCGATAGCGTTTTCTTTTCGCTACCCGAGATAGGATTATAAATTATAAGCGTGACATTTTTTCCTGTTTCAAATACCGATATTATAGATTTGTCGACCTCACGGTAAAATACCATTATATTAGCGAAGAGAGGATGCCACGAACCGTTTCATTGATCAATTAAATTTATGCACTTATGAATTAAAAATTATCTTTGTAAACTTTTAAACTATTAATGAAAATACGTACAGAATTTTAAATATAATTATTTCAAAACTAATGTAATTGTTGAGTTTACAAAAAAGTTTCATAATTATTCCTTATTACGTGGTTTTAAACGTTAATACACAATCGGTATTATGGCTTCTTAATAGTTTCCAATAAACAAACATTATTGGTAATCGGTTGTGTTTGTTACAAATGTATGAATTATTTGCGTGTATCAATAATAGTTATGCAACATAATGTTTTTGCTTAGACATTTGCTTTCGATGTTCGACGAAAAAGACTAACGCATGATTTCATATTTGATATGTATCTACGTATAGTTCGGAGAAATTACACAAAAACTTTCGATGTTCAACTGATCGAAACGAAATGCATTTCGTGGTTTACGTAATAAGTAGACCTATTAATAATTTATGAAACAGGTTACAAATCGAGTTTGACTTGCATTCAGATTGTTTTTGATTTGTCTAATCATCGTTAATAATAATTTATGAAATAAATTTACGAGGAACCTTGTTATGTTATTACATGGATAATCCGTCATAGACGCAATTCGATTTCTATTTGTTTATTCCGTTTACATTATATATTATGCATTATGTATTATAATGTATTTTTTCGAATCGAAAAAAATAATACAAGGAGATGGAGCTCTTTTACTAATTTATTCAATTTTACAAATTATTATTTTCATTGCAACGGTGAGGAGACGACACATCCTTTTTTCGGAATATTTTTTCTTATTTAAATCAATAATTTTGTTTTAATTTAAATTTCATTAACATAAAATTAAAATAAATCATAGTCAAGTGATTGTGAGAGGTAAAACCACTTGCAATATGGTAAAATCATTTCATGGATCATTACATTTTCTTATAGCTTCATAGTTACTTTTCTTTTCGTTTTCTTATTCGAGAACCAAACATTGAATGAATTTTAAACATTCGTAAAATGTAACGCACTATTATCCAAATCACTATCATTAGTATAATGATTCATTTTATTTCCATCCGTGATTCATCCTACTGGTATCATATGTAACTATTGTTACGATAATTTTGATTTTTTTAGTTATTTCTTATTGCCAAGTAGGGAATGGCTTTTAAGGAATTATTTATGAAAAAAATCAAATGTAATAATCAGCAGAAACAAAAATAAAATGCACACAAAAAAACTGTTTAATAATTAACAAATAACATTAACGTTACGCGCGCATTAGCTCGGTAACTATATGACTGTAAACAATAAACAGTAAACAGTATTTTCTTATCAACAATTAATGTACGCGCTTATTTTTCTCAAAATCACTTTTAAACCGCATAATTCCGTGTAACGAAAACAATCGCAGAAGGATAATATAAAATTATAATTACATGAATCAAAACGCTTTATAATCGTACGCGATAATTGACAACGCACTGACCATGACGCGTCATCGGCTCACGGGTGTTTAACGAGACTTCAAGGGAATCGAAATGATTTTATATGATTTCAGTGCAGTCGTTTTTACAACCGAGCGGCACTATCACTGGAATTCTGAAATATTCACCGTGGTATACGGTGGTGTAGTACCATTAGGTCGAACGATTGGTGGCAATCGTAAACGCGACGCGAACCGCACGCGTCCGGATGTCGGACAAAAAGGCATCTTCATCGTGTGTTCGTTGTACGGTTATCGCGTGCAGTACGGTTTGTCGTACGGTCAAAACAATCCGGCACCAGAGTGATGAAAAAAAAAAAAAAAAAAAAAATGATTCGCGCGCGCGTGACGTTCGCGATATTCGTCGTCATCGTCTTTAATTCAACAGCGACGGTAGAATAATACGGATCAGCTCTACGCGGTATCCGTACGCGCTTTAGGTTGGGTACCCGCTAATCGCGATAGCAATATTATATTATTACTATTCCGACCGTAGAGCCGTGATAACGCGCGGTAATTAGTCACCGTGTACAACACGAAATAATACAACATCTCGTCGCCGTCGACGGCGGTGCGGTGCCCACGGCCACGGTCGCGCGCAGCCAAGTCATCGCCGTTGCCATTATCCCCGTCGCGGTCGTTAATTGAGCGATTACCTTTTAAATAATTATTCGTACGCGTATTATGCGCGTTTCGAGTCGAGCGCGGAAGAGGTATGCGAGTGCACCGTGGCGGTTTTTTTTTTTTTTTTCCGACCGTGAAACAAAATTTCACAGGCGTTCGACGTAGGGTCTCGCGTACGCTTTGTCGATATTAGATCTCGTCGTGCGTCACGACAATGACGAGCGCGATACATATTGTCCCGCGTGTACGTGTGTACATGCGACACGTAACGTCGTTATTTGTCGTGCATAATATTATTATTATTATTGTTGTTGTTGTTGTTGTTATTATTATTATTGTTAACGTTATTATTATCATAATGAAGCGCGCGCGGACGTGCCTCGTCGATGTGTTGTTCGTACCGACCGCGGAGGCGCTTGACCCGGGCGGTAGAATGTCGCAGATCGCTCAAGCACAATAATGCCGGTACGTTTTACACCGAAATGCGACGAGCTGATGGATTTGATTTCTTTTTTTTTTTTTTTTTCCACCCGGCGCATTGTCAACGTTCCGCCATAAACGTTGTCGCGCAAAACACCGTACGCGTTCAAACCATTATTGTACCGCGCGAAAGCGGTTCGACGTTCTTCAACGGTCCGAGTCCGACCATCGCTGCACACGCTCGTGTTTCGAAGACCAAACGGGTACCGCGACAAACCGTTGACGAAGTCGACGCGACATTACGTCGCTTGAACGATCGCGCATTGGGTCGTTCTTGCCAAACGACTCGGTCGTCGGACCGTCATCCGATTCATACGATATCGCCGGTTGTCGGACGCGAGTTTTCAAACGGTCCTACGGTTTTCCGCGAGCCGATGCAACGCTCCCGGTGGCTCGCGAGGACCGACATATCCGAACCGTCATCATCGTATTTCTCACCTGAATGTGTGAAACACGTTTTCGCGTCCGCCCCTGCGCGCCCGTGGCGGATCCGGGGGACGGTCGATCGGTCCCTTGCCTCGTCTTAAACGCGTGCTCGCGATCGTTGCTGCGGCGGACACATCGCGCACATCCAGCGTTCGGAGTACGGAATGTTTCACGGTTTTCGTGAAGTTTTCGCTAGACACCAGACCGTACTCGGAACCGTTTGCGTTACGAGCGCGTGCCGGCACGATCGGAGAGAGATGTATTGTTATTGTTCTACGACTGCGGCGGAGCTACGAACACATGAATATGCGCCGGCACGCGGTGCTCGCATTATACCGCCATTACGATTCAACGGAACGTGCCGGAAAAGCGTTCGGGCGGACGTGCCCGCGCAGACCCGGGTCATTTCCGAAACCGAAGCCCGACGAAACGGTTCTCTCGCCGCGTCCAACCCGCCGGTCGGCTCGCGCAACGGAGTGCCGAAACGGTCGTCCGAACCGCTCTGCGCTGATCACTGTTCCACGGGACGCGTTCGGAGTGCGGACGACAGCGTCGCCGGTTACTCGGCCGAAAGATACGCGGTGAGGAGAACACGGGACAAAAAAATGACGCGCAAACGCTCGCCGTTGCCGTCCGACCAGCGGAAAATCGACGACGACGCCGGGACCGGGCTGCTGGATGGGCTGCGGCGAACGGGACGGGCAAACAACGGGTTGCGTCGCCGTCTCCGTTCGACCGCGAAAACCAGAACGTTCGACGTTTTCAGAGCGGTCAGCTTGGTGACGCGCCGTCTCCGGGCCGCCCACCACCGAACCGTACGAGAACCGAGTAAGCGCGCGCTTTTTCCTTCTCCTCTCACCGTCCGCCACCGTTCAGCGGCTCTTGCGCAAACGGCCCCGCACCGACGTGGCGTACGTATTCTCCTCGGTCACGTCGCGACGCGAGTTCTGCGGCCACGTTTTCGAGCCCGATCGGTCGCGTCCGCAGGTAAAACCCGACTTTAAAGTTTAAGGATTTTCTAAATGTTTATATCTTATTGATTTTCGTGAGCGCTACGTCGTTCCTTTGAAACCGCGTTACGGGAGTAGCTAACAGAGGGGGTACTCAGATATCCTTGCCTCTGGACGATCATGATGAAATTCACCAAACTTTTTACGTTCTACGTTTGCTTCACGGACTCGTTTCGTTCATAACAATTACTATTATTTGACGAAAAAATTAACGAAGCTTCGTCATCGCCACATTATCACTTTACCAAGGCAACGTACCCGTCGACGCCTTGAAAATAACTGGTCAGAGTGTGACTAGTAGAAAATATCGTACGTGGTATACGCGTAGCGCGTTCTGTGCGGCCTCATCGGTACGATTAACGTAGCGGACCAAACGCATACATAACTTACAAAGCACAGCGTTCTGCGTGGCCTCGGTGTTAGGGTTTTTCGCTACGTGGGCTGTGACAACGTGGTCCGGGTAGTGGCTACGGATTACGCCAACAATGGGCACGGTAAGAACACCGATCGTTTTCTACGCATGTCGGTCGGTTTCGACCACCGAATCAGTTTCATCAACCACGACACCGTATTGGATACATAAAACGGTTTTGCTTCATTTTCGGTCAGCACTATCATTTTGGTAGTGTACACAAAGGAAACTCGACCTTTATGGTAGAAATATATTGTTCACCTTATCTGTGGGCTATGAATTCGATTGATTCGGAAAACACAACTGCAAATTCATAAGAACCATTTTATTCGTTTTCGAAGAAATTTAGCGGTGCACCTCCAAAAACGTTTCGTTTTAATTAATGTTCTTCAATACGTTCAAACAAATATATAAGTTGCCATGAAGTAAAGTACACGAAACGAATGTCGTTCATAAAAAAAGATCTAATTAAAAATATTAACAGATTATACTTTGTTTAATTTGTTCGTTATTTTAATACGACAAATATAATTTATAAACTATACATTTTCAAATTATCAAAATTAGAAAATGTGAAATATTGTCATTAATATTCTCACCGCTCCTTCGAAAAAATATCTTGGTTGTGATCGTGCAAATAATAAAAAAAATAATAATATTATTATACGTTGAGGGCCCGTTTTTTCTCGATTAGTTTTCATTGTCATATCCGAGTTTTTATTTTTTATTTTAACAAAACCAAACACTTATTTTCTACCGCCCCGCCCACTGTTTGGTAATTATACCCAACTACATGATTATTTTACTTTCTGCGAGAATAGTCGCTTGCAAACATTTATTCTCGTCGGTGAAACGTTGTCAAGTCGATCAAGAACCAGAACGCAGAGCGAGGAGGACCTTACTCTAATTCGACCGTTATTGAAAGTTATTGAATGTTTTTAATACTATCGAAAGTGTTTTCGAAGCTATTCAAATCTCCATAAGGACATTCTCTCGGAATTAAACGGTTTCTAATAGTTGTAATGTCCAAGTTTTTTTTTTCATCGCGGTATATAATTTAAAGACGAATAACGAAGAGAAAGCTCCTCGCACAACGAGTTGTGTAACATATAATATTTAACTACTGCTCTCTCCCTACTCCAACGGTTAAAGCTTCAGTTATACATGTGCGTATTGCGACCGCCGAGTGAATAGTATGTAAAACCACATTAGATACATAATATTATTATTAATCTCAATTAACGTACGACATCAAAATAATATATCTGCGAAAAAAATTCAAACTTCACTCATTGTCCGACTGATCAGCTTACAGCCAAAATCAACACATCGATCCGTTACTATTTGTGTAAGCGCACCGAGAAAGGAATTTTTAAAAAATTGCGTTTTAAAAGGATCGTAAATATTATCGAGCGATGAGTTCGGCGATCAGATCTTTTTCACTTTAACGCTTATTTGTTCATTCGATGATTGCCGATTAACTGCGTCGTTGACGTATGTAGTATAAAAAAAAAAAAAAAAAATGAAATGAAAACGAATGTCACTGGCATACAACCGACCACAATCTGATGTGTTTTACAATTTTACATCGAAAAAATAGATGGTGCACCTGATCGGTTTAACAAAGAAAATATCTACCTAGTTATACAGTAGAGCAATACAGCGCGACCAAAGATCGCGCGATATCGTCGAAACGGACTCGCGGAGTGCGCGCACCTTAAACCCTCGACACGCTACACGATCCGGTCGGACCAACAGGATATTTAGGTCAGGTCAGTCTGTAATAGCAGGTCGCGTGCGAACGCAACGTCCGACTCTAATCGCTTCTCGGGTCCCGTCGGGTGGCCGTTCCATCTGATCGCTCGACCAACCGACCACATCATGCAGTACTGTCGTTGCGTGTTTCGTCCGGTCTTGTTGGTCAGTCGTTCGCCACTGAATCCGACGTGCGAACACCAAGCGGACACGAACCCGACACCGACAACGTGCAGCGGTCCGCTAGCGAAACACGATTCGGTCGGGCTACTACCCGTCGGCCCGACCGGACGATAGTCGGCGCGACAAAAGGCACGTCGAACATTGCGAAACGGATTTTCCGCGCGCGAGCCCCGTCACGCAGCGTCGCCGACGACCGTGCAACAGACATATTACGATTCCGTAATCGGTGCGCGCGCGCGACCCAATAAAACGGAAACGGCGGGGGCGCGCGTGATAAACGTACGGACAATCGATTCGTATCCGTTGCGAATGATATTCGTGTTCGGGAACATGTCGTAGCGTTGGATTTTTTTTTTTTTTTTGATTTTTCCCCACCTGACCACCGTTGATCGATGCGTGTTACGCGTAGCGGATACGGTCGATCGGGTGACGGTGACGACGTGTGTCCTTGGGGCGCGTGCCGCGGTGCACCTTTACCGTACAGGGCAGCGGTTCTCAAACCGCGGAGCCCTTGGCATCGGCCAAGTCTGAACCAATCGGGTCCGGGCAGGGGCGGATACAGAGGGGGGTGAATGGGGCTATCGCCTCCCCTCCTTTTACCGTAGCAGACTTTAGTTTTTGACGTGATTACTTCAAGGGTAAATAGGGAAATCTTAAACTATTTTTTTTATACCAAACTTATGCTGGTACTATGTTATCACTTATATTTATTATTTGGTGGTATTCTGATATCACAGTTATATACTACTATCATAATGTTAAATATTCGTAAACAAGTTTTGTGTTTGTCGTTGTTTCCAAAACGTGATAACTGATAACGACCAATGTAAAAATCGTTCGGTACCTCCATAATCAACAAATTTGTAATTATAAACTCTATTGTTTTGACACTTATTGATATAAATAAAAAAGTTATTATTATTATTACTATATATATATATTTTTTTTAAAGACTTATTTATTTAAATAAATAACCTTTATCAAAATTAATATTTTTAATTTTATCTACATAAATATATATATATATATATATATATATCATTTGTGTCCATTAAAAGTCGCCCTCCCTGTTATCTTGGTCTGGATCCGCCCCTGGGTCCGGGTGTAGTCTTGTTCCTTAGGCGTCCAGGATAAGCACCGGTACCGATTACTTGCATTGTCCGATGGATCGTACGAAAACCCGTTTAGTTTAAAACTCGGTGTTAAACCGAAAAAATTGATTATTCCGACTTCGTTGCTCGGCTGATGTTTTTATCGATCCAAGTGAAGTAAAAACTTGCCAAAAAAATGCAAAATTACTACCGTTTTCACAGGGAGTGAAAAAATCTGAGCTTTAAAAAAAAAATAAAATAAATTATGAGCCGCGGTGTTTTGTCAACATAAAATTTATAGTTTTATTTAAGGAATATTTCGAATCGATCGCGGACAATATTGTGACAAATTTGATGAAATATTATTACATCATTTTTTACTTACCTGTTAATTTCATCTCAATTATACATTCCTGATTTTTGAGTTTTTTTAGGAACATAACGTTAGCTACTAGCTACGTGCCAAAACCTCGTAACTTGAAATTTTGTAAATTTCACTTTTTGTTAAATAATAGCATTGGTAGCGTAAGTTGCACTCGTTGTAAAAACGATTGTAGTGTTCAGTACATTGTGATACGATTAAATTGTAATTTCAAAACATCGTAAATAGAAGTTGAAAAAAATACTCTTAAGTTAAGTTACGGAGGATAAAAATTTGTAAAAATGGTGTTACGAGGTCTTGGCTCGCTTTAGCTGTCGATAAGGGCTCCGTGGATAAAAAGTGTTGAGAACCACTGCTATGCACTATACCTGAGACACCGTCTCGATTTATCTCGAACGCAATATTCAAATTTGTTCGCACGTCCCGAGATATGCACGTACACGTTACACTTAAACTATTATTGCACATTCGTTTACGTAACACAGTATTTCGGCAAACTTCTCGCGCCGGTACTATTAGGTTGGGTTCTATATAATATTATTGGTTTGTAGATTATGTGTATTTCGACAGACGTTCATTCGACATTGCAAACGAAACGGAGACGAACACATTTTCATATTTACACATGCACTTTACTCATTAATTATTTATTGCTGGTACATATTTCGTACGTATATTTAATGTATAAAAAATCAAACTAGAACGGACAACTTCGATATATAATATAACCCACCATAGTAGCGGTTATCTTTTGCCTCTAAAATTACACATAATATATCATTATTATCGGATAAAAGTTGATTAGGTTAAACCACAATTCTAACTGCATTCATTCGAGCCTGATGGAAGGTCGTTGAATTTGAATAATAGAGGTTCTGGCCAAAAATATTCGAACATTATAGAATGTTACATTATATTCGATCCATCCGAACACATGTGTTTCATTCGATTTATTGAAAGTCTGCTGTTTATTTTTATTCTATAAATGTTCATCA